ATTAATTAAATTGGTGAAAAATACATTTTAAATTTAGTACAATAGGAAAATGATTCAGAAAACATTCAGAGTCGGCCGGAGCTGGAAGGCTGCTGAGCTACAAACGTGAAGCGTTTGAGGAATGTGGGACATCTCAGCGCTGGACGGATTCAGATTCCTTTAGTTTCATCATCAGGAAGTTTTATACTCAAAAACATTTACAGCAAAAAATGAATTGAAATCACTTCAACATGAGCTTCCATCCCTTAAACAGAGGAAGCGATTATTAGTCACGTTTCCATCAATGTTTTTAATTATTTTAAAGTATTGGAAGTGATCAATGGAAAAATAAATTCATGCTCTCTTGTGGTGGTTTTTCTGCTGCAATATAAAGTTTTTTCATGTATGTTAATGTCTGAGATCTCAAGTTTTATATATTTTTCTTCATAAACTTTGATCGGATATTAACAGAAACTTTCCATAAAAATACATTCAGACAGTTTGGAGAATTTTTGAGTTATTTTCATGAAGTCATTGGACGGTTTTTATCGTTTTTCTTGTTGGTAAATAAAGAGTCGTTTTCATATGCAGCTCCTGCAGAAACAAAGTAATAAATCGATTAAAATCAGTTTCTGAACTGGAGTTTAGATCTTGGTAATGAACTACGGTCTGCTCTGATGGAGGAGGAGGAAGAGGAGGAAGAGGAGGAGGACCTGGTAACGAGTCTCCGGGTGGATCCGATACGTTTGTAGCAGGAAATGCCACAAATCAGACGTTTCCACCCAAAACAATCCGCAGCGGCCATCTTTACTGCCTGAACTGAGCGCTGCTAGGGGTCGGCTATGTTCTTCTGCTGCTGCTTTGGAGTCAGAAACCGTTCATGCAGAAGTCTGGTTGCTGTCAGACTGAATTAGTAGCAGAAACGACAACGCAGAAAAAAAAAGAAAAAGATTTCTGCAAAATTAATCAGAACTGAGTATCAGGACCTGCTGGTGAACGTTGCCATGGTGAACCCGTTTTTAAGGTCGTCACACCAAAGAGACTGAAAATGAGTCCAATCCAGGAAAATGGATCGAACATTTTCGTCCTCAGCAATGAGGACGAACGATTCAGTTCACCAACCATTCAGTTCACCAACCATTCAGTTCACTTGCAGCAGCCGTTTCTCAACTTACAGCGTCAAACTCAGTTTCATTTTGGGCCAAATCAAAAATCTGAATGTTCTTAAAGGGCCGGTTGTGCCACAATGCATTGATAAAACCCATTAAACTGTTAATAAGTAGCTGTTTGTTTCAGTTTTCAAAAAGTGTTTCTTAAATAATATTGAACATCTTTCCACACTGATCAGTCCTCCAGGATTGTGGGATTGTTTTTGTGTTTTTTGCAATCAAAAACACAGATGTTGCTAATTTATAAATATTTGTAAGGATTTTTACAATATTTGCATTAATGTAACTTTTTATTGATCACCTTATCGAATTTATCAAAAACCCAATGTCATTGATCAATTTTGAGAAAAATCTACAGTAAAATCAGAAAAAACAATGTGGCGATCTGTCGATTTTGTGTGAATTTTGCAGATTAAAAAAAAAAACTTCAGGTACTAATTGACATAATTTGGAGCATAGAGGGCCACATAAAAAGCTACAGCGGGCCAGATTTGGCCCCCGGGCCCTGAGTTTGACACATGTGACTTAGAGTGAAATCCAGCTGCTTGGAGCTGCTTCTGGTTCAAAGTAAAAGGAGCCCTGACCAACATGGCTGATGTGTAATGACGAAATGTAACGTTGGTTTCTGGTTGGTGACTGTATGACATTTTTATGACTTTATGTTTTTGTGATGCAAAGCTCTTCAAACTGCCTCAATTGATTGTTTAATTGATTGATAATCCAGCACATAACAATAATCAGAACCAGTATGGTGTGATGTCAGAGTGGTCCAGTTTCCTGTGATGCTGTCAGTAGACACCAGTCCCATCCCAGTAAGACTTCCTCTGACTTTTAACCCCTGATTTAAAGGAACCAGAACCGAGCTCTGGCCCGGCTCTCTGGGGGTGTGATTACCTTCCCCCGTAGTGCCCATGCAGCGTGTGAATCGGACTCACCACCTGCCGGGTTGTGTTCCGGCTCTGCTCCGCCGCCGTCCCGCCGCCCTCCGCGCCGACACCCGGCGCCCGCTGGGCGTCCTGCTCCGCGCTGGGCTGCGGCTGCCGGTGCTTGCTGGCCCGCTTGGCCTTGTTCTGCAGCAGCCGCTGGTGCAGGCTGATGGTGTGCTGCCGGTCCAGCTCCAGCCGCTCCGGCGTGGCGCCGTCGTAGCGGGTTTCGCAGTTGTTGTGATGCTGCCGGAAGAGTTCGATCCTCCGGCGGAGCCGCTCCATCACCGCGCTGTGTCGCGGTGTAACAAAATCCGCCATCATCAATAAAGACCTGCAGTGAACTCCCGCCTCAGGTTTCGTCCATAAAATGCAGATTATGGCTCTCTGTCACTCTGGGCGTCTATACACCCCCCTGGCCCTTTACAAAGACTCCTGTGCTGGCTCCATGGAGGCGACCTTTGTCTCTAACGGCCTTCAGTCGCAGCGGCACTCACTGCCGGAGAGGAAAAGTAAGGTTTCTGGGTAAAATACCGTTCAGCCTCCTCATTTCAGTTGCTAAACATCAGCTCATTTAACTGGCTGAGCTACTGGAGCCACAGTCGCTTTAATGGTATCTAAAACCTGCTGCTTTCTGGATAAAAACATCTCCAAAACAAACACCAAACTAACTCCCGACCAGCTACTGAAACTTAGCACATTCCTGCACTCTAAATCAGAGCCAAATATTCGGAAAACTCACACAAACTCGGTGTGTTTGAGACCCGGGAACCAGCGGCCTCGGCCCGGACGCCGGGTTCTGTGTTGGAGGTGGTTTTCCACCCGCTGGGAGCGGCATTACTGCTCTCCAACTTAGCCCAAACTTTTATTTTGAGTCGGGAGTTAGCTTTGTTTAGCGAATAGGAGCTAGGACGCTGAAGTTGGCTTCCGATTCAAGTAAAGGACTACTTCACAGTTTTTAGGGACTCTTTGACAATCTTACTACATTAACAGGTCGAAATCCAGAACATACAGTGACCGGATCTGGACTTAATTACCACAAATAGTTTTAAGCCAACGGTTTAAAACTATCTGTATTTAAAGAAAATTTTATTCAACTGTGTAAACTCACCCAAATAAAACAAATCTTGATGGATAATAAAAATAGTTTTAAGTAAAATGTCTTTCAGTGTAGAATTTTAGTTCATACTAAGCCACTTCAAGACTTAAAGCAGGATCCAATCTAATATGATTAAAACAGCTTCAAATAGCTTATTACTCTCTTTTTATAAACACCAGAAACGTTTTATAAATTACACAATCTGTTTTTTAATGAATACAGTAAGGCTTTATTCAGGTTTGGCCTTTAAATGTAGTGTTAATTCTAAACTAGATGCAACTAAAAGTATACCGGATTCCTTTAAAACTGTGAACTAGCCTTTTATTCAATCGACCAACCGGATGCCAACTTCGCCATGGTGAGCTAACTGTGAATCAAACTTATAACTTCTAAAACAACAATTTCATAGAATGATTAAATCTACGGCTTTCACTTTTCTAAATACTGTATTTTAAAATTTAAGGTTTATCACACTTACTGTGAAAATGTAGCAGTCCGCTCTCCCTAAAGCATCTGTCCGGCGAACAGCAGCTGATCCTCCGCCTCCCTGTAGCCGTTAGCCGCTGTGTTATGGGTCGACGGGCCTGAATCATTTAAATAAATCCTCATACTTTAAGTGGCTTCGAATCACCGCAGCGGATATTCCTCCTTCTCTATGACCGAGCCCGAGTCGGGGAATGAGAGATTCAGAGCGAGCCACAGCACAGGCTAACCGCGTCCCTCCTCCCTGCTTCTATTGTTTCCCTGCGAACAGGCAGCTCTGTCCGGCCATCTTGGAAACTTTCTCTTTTCTTCCATCAGTGAGGAATGTTCCTGCTCCCGCCTCACTGTTGACTGACAGCCGAAGCAGCCAATGAAAAACGGACATCGCCTCAAAGCTCACGGACAGCTAAGAGTAACCAATCAGAGGCGAGTATTGCCAGTCGACGTCAGACGAACAGCAGAGCCAATCAGAGCGCAACTGATCTGATCTAATTTTAAATTAAATTTACTTGTCAGACTTGAATTAGCAGAAATCTCATCAATGTTGGAAAATTTTTGAAATACTAAAGCAGAAAATGTCACTATGGAAAAATACTGGTTAATTATTTCATTAAAATTATATACAATTCCCAAATATTCATTATGTATAAATGTGCTTGTTTAAAAACAGAGAACAGTATTCTTTTTCCTTTGTGAAAACCCATAAGAACTTTCTCCTGCTAATAAACAACTTTTAAAATAAATTGTAATTGTTTACATTTGAGAAAAATGCTACACTATTTGTATTTAAGTAAAACTGTCTCGAATAGAGGAGGGCAAATTGATCCAAAATATTAATAATATCGACAAGAACTTGATATCAGTATCAGATCAATACTTTAGTTTCAGATTCGGTCTTGAAATTTTATTATATTTTTGTATCATAGGTTCTCTTTTGCTCTTAAATCTTTTTTTTTACTTTATTAAGGAATGCAGTTTTTTTTAAATGTTTATATAAAATATTTTGTCAAAACCTATAAATTTCGTCAAAATGTATCCTAGATTGTAACTAAATAATTAAAACAAAAAACAAAAAAAACAAAAAAAACAATAAAGATCAGAAGTTTAATTTATTAACCAAAAATATATATCAGTATTGGTGATACTGGCCCTCCACTACTTATCAAATGAATGGTATTTTTTACTCTATTACTTTCGTACTCTTTCCAGCTCTGAATAAACAAACTGCAGTCGTTGAGTCAGTTTCCATTGATCCTTTTTTATTCATCAAAACAAACATTTGCTTCATCGACATCAGGCCCCTCATCACAGTGTTTCATTCACAGCCAGGCTTTCTGCAGCCGGTCGCTTCAAACCGCCAGAGGAAGTAAAAACGCAGCAGATACAGTGTTCAGCTCACAGACGGAGCACGGTCAGCCCCCAAACTCACTGTCCAGATCAACCCACAGACCGGCCAATCCCAGCGGGCGTTCACAAAGGACTTGAGAAACCCCCAGTGAGAAACTGTTTGGCTGTGAACTGCCCCTCACCTGAACAACCTCAAGAAAATCCTGATTTTTACATCTTTTAACAAGAAAAGAACATATTCTAAACACAAAAACAAAAGTTTGACCAAAAAAAAAGTGAAATTAAAACATTTTTAGACATTTGCTCCATGATTCCTATATAAGCCTGAAGACTGGGGACGACCTCTGGGACTTCAAAATATTTAAACTTCTACAAAAAAACCTGTTAGAAAACATCAGAAACTATTGTCCCTCAGAGTTTAAGCAAAAGCAAAGAGGAGTCAGAGAGGAGACGCTTTGTAAAAAAATCATTAAATCCAGTTCAACTGCACAGGAATTACCAATAAAATGTCTGCCAGCTCAGGCTAATTCATCTGCTGCAGGTCGCATACTGTCTACCAAGAGCTACTTCACAGAACCCCGCTGAAAATGATTCCTTTAAGGGAACAATTACAGAGCAGGACTTTATCGTTTCTGACAGATTATCAGGATTTTTCTCATTTGGTTTTATTTTTATTTCAAGCTGTGCAGTGATTGGATGAAACAGAGGTCATGTGTGACGTCATGATGAAATCAACGGGAAGCTCAGGAGCAACAACGGAGACTTCAGCACCACCTCTGGTAGTGAGCTGAAACTGCAGGACAGGACACCTGAGGTTCTGATATTTAAATACGTCAAAACTTGAAATGCATAATTTATTAAATGTAGAACTATATGTACCTCAATTATATGTGGATAATTTGATTTCACAAACTAGATTTCATGATTTAATAAATTATTTCATGTTCCTGTGCTGAAGCACATCAATAAACGAATGCATTGGGCGGGATTAAGGCAAACTGACATCTGATTGGCTCCTTCAAACAGCAAGTCAAGACGCCTGCCCAGTTAACTGCGACTCTGAGGTCAATATTTTGTAAATAACTTAAATTGAAATTTATTTACTACAAACCCTGGAGGAGAAACTGCAGCCTCTACTTCTGTGCTTTGAAATATTGCTGATAAATTCAGCAGAGCTCACTGTGGTCTGGCAGGATCACCGTTAGCCTGGTAGCTAACAGCAGCTAATGGTCTGTGGCGAACGTATTAACGATATCTCAGACCAAACTACACATATGGGGCGGGAGTTGTTCACCCAGAGTTTGTAATAAGTAAATAAACAATTTAATTGTTAGTAAAATCATTTCCACAATTATAGTGAAATTTCAAGCTGAGTCAGAGCTAACTGGGAAGTTGTTTACTTGACTGCAGCAGCCAATCAGACATCAGGGTCCCAGCTTCCATAATCCCGCCCATTGAGTGTGATGGGTAAAATCGACAGTGTAAGTGAAGTCATGATGCGCTTCAGAGCACGAACATGAAATAATACATTTAATTGAGGCACATATAGGTCAATATTTAATCCTTGCTGCATTTATTTCCAATTTTTAAAAATTAATGATATATTATTGACATTTTATCATGATTATTTAATCAGTTATTAATTTAAAGTGTTATAGAAAGGGGGCGGAGCCTCTGTGGTGCTGAGCTGGAGGAGGCAGGTGAGCCAAACATCCAGGTGTTTCCTGTCTGACCCACCGACGGCAGAGTGTTTCAGGAAGAAGCTAACAGACAGCTAGCGCTCTAGCGCCGACAGGACAACAGACATGGAGAAAAGTCGGAGTGTTCCCAGTTTAAGCCTCCTCCAGCCGCTAAGCTCTGGCTTTATTAGGCAGCTAACAGGCTAACACTGAAGTGCTACAGTTAGCGGTTAGTAGTTGGTTATCTGTGGGCAAGTTGGTCAGCCGCCCATCTAGTCCAGCGGGGCGACCATCTTCCTGTCAACAGTCTGCTGATTGGAGGAGCAGACAGAGCGTTGCCCCCTGCAGGTCGGAATGATGCAGTGAATCTCTGTTAAGCTCTAAAACAAAACGTCCAAAACCGGATCGAGCTGGAATCGTCATCAAATTTCTGTTGGCTTCGCTGCTTTTACTGGATCCGTTCAGGCTTCGTGGCCTCAGGAAGGAGGAAGAGGAGGAGGAAGACGAGGGGGAGGGAGAAAGGTCAGGAGGTCAGGGTTCAGAGCCATCAGTCCTTTCTGAGCCTCCTGCTCCTGGGAGATCTACGCAGAATATCGTCTTCTTTCTGTGGATCAGAACAAAATCAGCATTTAAATTATTTCACTATATTTAACTGGAAAATAAAGTAAAAGTTTTATATACAGTTTTTACCCCAAATTACTGGAATATTTCCAAAATGTGTTGGTCCCACAGAGTCACTTCCTTGCATCGAAGTATTTTTTTAATCTCAGAACCAGAACCCAGGAGGGAAACTGTCAGCCGGGTTTCCATCAAAGTTTTTGCTTTAGGCACATTTTTAATTATTGAGTTGGAAAATATTGATATAAACAGCAAAAAAACCCAAAAAACCTAAACTTCATAAAAAATATCATCTTTCCACTTCCCGTTTATTCCAGCCTCACGTCGACACAGATTAAATCTTGTTCTGAGTTTCCTGGTGGATTCGCTCCAAACCAGCAGACAGAAACATCTTCCAGATTAAAGCCCGACGCTAAACTGGACCTCAGCTAATCTGCCCGGCAACAGCTCCAGGTTGAGGGTTACAGTGTAATTAGTGATGCTACGGGCCAGATCCACCTCCATCAGGCCTGGCGTTAAACCAGAAGGTTTCAGACTGAATGCGGCGGTTCATCCTGGTTTTATCACACCAGAACCCATTCAACATGAACGCAGTTCTTCCTCACCTCTTCTGTCGTGGCCTCCTTCTCTCCCTCCTCTTCCTCAGCAGCAGCCTCTTCTTCATCATTCTTGTCCTCTGCAGCTGGAGGAAAATAAACCAAACGGTTACAGAACCAGAACTGGGGGACGAACAGAACCGGGTCAGTGAGAGAGCTAACCCACCTGGTCTGCTCTTCGCCTCCTCAGCCTTATCCTCTTCCTCCTCGTCCTCCTCTTCCTCCTTCACGTCAGGCTGAGGTTCGTCTGTCTTCTTGTATTCGGCTGCCGGAGTCGTCTTCTTCTCCTGCAGAAAACAGATTCATGAATTTTCATCAGGAAGAGCTGTCTATAAGCCGCTCTTCATCAGCACTACAGCTACGCCACAACAAGCTAGGCTAGGAGGAAGAGGAAGAGTCACCGGCTGGAGGCATCCGGCTCCCTTCAGCTCTTCCTGTAAGCTGGTGAGACTCAGCGAGTCCTGAGCCGACCCAGAGGAGCTCTGTGGACACCCACCATCATCATCATCATCATCACAAATCAGAATGCCACTACAGACACGTTGCAGTGTGACGTCACAAAAAAGCTGCTAGCCAACAATGGCTAGCTTTGGTTTCAGCTGTCAACATGACGCTCTAAATCTTAAATGTGCGTCTGATATAAAAAGAAAAAGATAGTACTTTGCTAGAAATTGTCAACATTATAAAAAACAATAAGGGAGAGGGAAGTAGGTGAGCTATGCTATGCTAGCTTGACTGTGACAACCTCAACATGTAGATCTGCTGCAGAATTGGGTGTTTCGGTTCAGTAAAAAAACAAACAAAAAAAACAAAAACAAATAAAAAATAAGGTGATCTAAACACCAACTCTGACAGATCATCAGTAGAGCAAGTGTTTAGATGAGCTAATCAACCACTGCTGCGCTAGGTTAGCTATTAACAGTGGTAGCTAACCTACCACAGCGATCACTTATTAATAATCACAAATAAACATCAAGCCTGAAAGCATAAAACTATAACCGACTGAATGTTCTGCTCTTTGTGTGGAAAATGTTTGAGTGTTTTTTGGTGCTGAATCCTGAAACATTAGTGGCGTTGTTTTTAGTCGGTTGCTATGGCAATGAGTCTGCGTGTAGCGTAGCCGA